GAAATCGGGAATTTCGGATTCGTTTGCATTCGTCTTAGCTGTAATTCGGAATTCGGATGCATCCGAATCTCCGAATTTCCGAAAATTCATCCAAAACGAATTTCGGAACGAACCGAATCGCACATGTCTATCTAAAAGAAGTGTAAATTATGATTATTGTTGGTGTTAGAATAGTGCAACAATCACATGTAAAGGATCTTGAAAAATGAGAAAATTAGAGATCATTAATTTATCTATCATAGACATTCTCAACCTTTTTATCCTCAAGGAACCCTTAAAGAATTGAAGTCTTGGGAAACCCCAGATCTACAACTTGCAGTCTTAACCCTTGCAGTGAAACTACCAATGCAATGCAAGGGGTTAAGTGCTCGTGCGAAAGTGCGAAATAAAAAAGTTATACGCACCAGATTGTTGCAGCTGACTGGCTGCTAGACCAGTCCTTCCAGCCTTTCCCCCCTCCGCTGTAGTGGTCTGAGGTCCCGTGAGTCATCACTTCCAATACACTGTGTATTGGATGTGAGGATGCAGAGGGACATACCATTGCTGGAGCGGAGGGGAAGACAGGCTGGGGGGAGCGCTCTAACAGCCAGCCAGCTCTCCTTATGCTCTTTTTGATTATAACAATTCCATCACAGCCTGGCACATATGTTGGTCCCTGATCATGCCTGTGTATATCAGTGTTTACTTGCATTGTTTACTACTTTAGTTTGAACCCTGTCCTGACGGGAATGTGACGTCACTGTGTCGTAGGATTGTTGCTGATTGGCTTTTACATTGTGGGTGATTGATATTTATACTGGTTACGTTTGTATTCTTTGCCACATGTCTTTGCTTGAAGAAGGGGATCCTGTGTGACCCCGAAGCAGTCGTCGCATTTCTGATATGTCGCACCTCTTCAAATAAACAAGACTTTTGCTTCACGTCTATACTGGAGTGCCGGTGTCCCTGCTTTTTCTACCCAACGTGACCCCGTCTTTTATATTTTACCAAAAAATTGGGGTAATAATAAATGTTTTATAACATAATGTAAAAAAAAATTCTTTTTTCAAAATTTTCAGTAATTTCTCCTGAATATAGTAAAAAATAAAACCACCAAAAGAAAGCTCTGTCTGTCCCCAAAAAATGGTATAAAATTCATTTCAGTACAGCGTTGCATGACGGAATAAATGTCAGTCAAAGTATTGCAGCGCTGAATACTGAAAAATGGCCTGGAGGGGAAGGGGGTCTAAACACCTAGTCAGCAAGTGGTTAATGACAGTTCAGAGTCCTCTGGTTACCAGGTAACCAGAGGACGCTGAACTATCATTACAATGACAACTCAGCAGAGCCGGCCGTGATATCACGGTCGGCTCCGCCGAGCTGTCATTAGTTCAGCGTCCCCTGTTTACCAGGTAACCAGAGGACGCTGAACCTTACAATGACAACTCAGCGGAGCCGGCCGTTCAGCGTCCCCTGGTTACAATGACAGCTTGGCCGGAGCTACGGCTGATCCTTCGGCTAGCTTTGTGAATAACCCTGCTAGTCTTTGTTACAACTGCTCTATCCTAGGGAGTACTGCTCATTTTCAAAAATGTAGGCACTGAAGTCTTTCAGAGCTAATAACACATCGTTCCCAACTCAACTCTTATCAATAAAAATATTCTAAAAACATAATTAAGAAAATGTAGAATCCATTTTAGGATCTCATATGCATCTCACTTGAATAATTCCAAGCTTTTTTTTAAAGCCTAGGCATTAAGAACAAGGTGGTAACCAAGTTGGTAACCCAAGAAGGTGCATCTATTAGCTCCACTTTAGGATAAAAGAAGCTTAAAGTGTTTTTGAATAGAGTAAGGGAAGTAGCAACTCAAGATTTGGGATTTTCTTTTCATGTTTATGCTCTGTGATACCCAGGACAAAGAGAGAGGGTGAATGTCTATAACAGGGACATAGGCAGGAATACAAATCTTACAGGTGTTCTAATCCCCCTTCATTCTATCCAAGACTAAAAAACATTGCAATCTGTGCCACACAAACATATTTTCTTGTCTTAATCTCTGGCAATATTTCACATGCACCACTTTGGTAATTAAGCTTTTTGATTGCAACAAAAGTTTCCAAAAAATGTATGTGATTATAACTATTGTACTATATTTTTTCTAACATTTCAAGCACAAAAGAATTCCAGCCTGCATGTATTAGGCTGCAATAAAAATATTTTAGCAGTACTTCTATCAATCATTTATCAATCTCTTATGTAGGCAGTTAAAATATCAATATGTTAGTAAATAAATAACAAGACATTTGTAGAGTGAAAACCCCACCATATGTTTATTATGTGTTCCCATTTAAACCGCAAACCTAAAAGAGAACATTTAATGTATTTCTTACCTTTTAGATGTGTCTTTGGTGTTCGCCTTTGTGCAGATTGCAAACTATTCTGAGCAGTTTTGAAAGTGAAACTATCGGGTCCAACTGGGATTCTTCTCATTAACATACAATGCTTCTAAGTCTTTACCCCACAGTTAAGACAGAGTGTATTAAAATCTAGTTTACAACTAATAATAAAATCTGCCAGCCCAGTAAAGAGAGGGTTAATTAGAGTAAACACAACTTCCCACAGCCCCCTCTAGCACCTTCTTTTCGGCAATATGAATTGGAGCATATAACAAATATACAGTAGATGTTTTCCAAATGTGAAAATTCACTTTAAGGCAACAAGGAAGAGGCTTTAGAGGACAAGGGTGGAGTTACAAAATGAGTCATTCACAGCATATCACCACAAAGCTGAATTAAGATGAAAGCAGTAATACTTGTAAATGGGCAGCTCTAAAGCTGGTGATGCCCCTATATCTTTATTAGTATTAAAATGTATAATTATCATGTTCCAGAAGGATCTGGTTCCTTGAGGATGAGGTTCCTTTCCACTCCTTTTACTGCAGGAAGAAAACAGCGGTACCAGTCACCACAGTTAATTTGATGTGATGCCATTTTTTTCCAACTGCCATGCTATGCTGAACACTCACCATAATCCATATGCGGTGTCTTGAAAAATACTTGGATAACAGAAACCATGGTAGAGTAGAAATAAGGATTTGTGAATGGACTAGTGGCCTAAATTGGGCCAGCCTGCTGGCCAGGTGCTATCATACCTTTAACTACCCTATTGGAAAAACTAAAAAGCTATGAAAGATGACGTGACCAACCTAATACATACCCAAGTGTCCATGACAAGTGTTGAGATAATAACCTTTACAAAATATATTACCCCTTGACAAGAAAGGCTCTTCAGCTACTTACCCTTGATTAGGATGAACAAAGCAATTACTACTATGACCTTCATTACCATGCCCATCTGTGTGCTGCATTATTGACATCTATCTATCTATCTATCTATCTATCTATCTATCTATCTATCTATCTATCTTTCTTTCTATCTATCTATTTTTTTATTTATGCCAACCTACCTGCCCAGCTGTGTCCCATGTGCTACTTCAGATAATGAAATGGTCCACAGCAGTTGCAGCTGTTTTTTTCTTTTTGCATTCCAGGCATTCCTGCTGGTTCTACCTAGCTGCAGAACAAGTTTTTGTTTTATTAGCACCTTACATATTCAGTGCCCCTGTTAGTACTTCTAACAAAAAGGAAACAAAAGATTCCGTTAATCCTTTTGTCTACAGCAAAACAGACTTTAACTATATTTTTTTTTATCAGGACTCTTACCTCGATGTGTGTTCAGATTAACTATGGTTGGGCCTGGCAAATAAAGTAGCCTTTTTAATGTCCATAAATAATTGTCTACAAGAGCTCATAGTGGGAAATATGTGGATCAACTGTGGTTATCCATGGCTTTTACAATAAAGCTCGAGAGTCAGCAGGCTATGCTGTGTTCATATATTTTATTATAAGAAAAACAGCTTAAAACAGTTGTAATACATATATGGAAACTGTTTTATCTACCAAATGATTCTAAATCTATTTACTCTGTCTTCTGTTGTGAGCCACACTGTGGGGCCTTGTGACATCCACCATTAAACAATTTTAATTTCTGAGGTGTGTATAGCACTGTCTATTTCAGGCATTAACTGATGCAGGCAGTCTACCCAATGCTATGTTTTGTTGCCACAGATAGTTCTGTTTGATTCCTTTGTGGCTAAATGTTTTGATTGCTTGATGCTACATCTAGGGCTGGTTGATAAGTCTATAGTAAGTTTCTGCCTTTAGTTTCAAGTTAAAAGTCCTCAATATAGCCACCCCTGAAGATATCAGCAAATTTATGTAAGCTTCTTGGCTGCAATATGTATTTTACCAGTAAAGGGTAAGTATCATAACTATGTTCCTTGCCAAAAATACAAACGTTTGCATATTTTATTTTACCCACTACTAAATGTTTCAAATATATACTGCTTAATCTTACACCTTTTAGGCTCTCTTCTCTTATTGGTGGAATTTCAATAAAACAATCATTACACAAACACATAATTAAATCACAACATAATTTTAATGTTTTTCACTATTCCAGAGGAAATAAAAATGACCAATAAAGAAAAACAAATTCTAGATTATGCCTGATAGTGTGCGGCTTTTCTGGAAAAAAGATTTATGGATGTAAAAGATTCAAGAATATAGTCATGAAATTTAGACTGACATCAGCTTCACATATAATTTATAACTTCCCGCATTGATAAAAGTTAATGAAAGCATCTGGAACTGCTGCATCATTGGAAAATGTGCTTGTATCCCTGTTTATTTAATATAAGCAAAATGTCTATGATAAATGTCAAAAAGACATTTTAAGTTTGTTTTGGATGAAGCTGGATTTCTTATAGATGGTATAGATTATTGTCTGATATATAAATGCTATTTCCCTCACTTTCATTCGCCATCTTTACTTTAGTTTTTTCTACATCAACATAAAAAATCTTAAATAGATGTCTTCAAAAACCCTGGTAACATTCACAATTTATTTAAGCATATCATCTGTAAAAGCAAAGCTTCATTGGACACATCGCCTCATTTTTGATAGATATATATATACTTTTATATATACACATATGTATAGGTATAAATAGCTATTCAGCATGCAAACATTTTAGTGATTCCATCATTGTATCTTATTTTTTCATAATCCTACAAATATCTGCTATGGCACCTGTTTTGATAAGCTCAATGTTGCATACATGGTAGACATAAGCCATCTTGGTGGATAATTTTACCCTGTATAGTATTTCTTTCAGATCATGGAGGAAGACTTTACTTAAGTGCAGGATACTCACAGGTGTTAACACAACATAGATTAGATTTTCTTGGTCAATAGAACATGACTTGAATTTGAGTATTCAGTCTGTTGCAGCTGCAGTCATCCATCGGTCCAGTTTTCCACAGTCCCCATGCCTGAATGATACTGTAGGGATGATTCTCTAGATAAAGAAAAGCTTTGAGAATATAAAAACTCATTGGCTGCGTTTATGTGAGGGGATGGAGGTTTTCTTTCACACAGGGAAGGGTGAACTCTCTCTCTAGGAAAGGATGAAGTGGGAACTCTCTCCCGTACCTGAGACTGTGAAAGCTGATTGTAGACACTAAAGTGAGATTCACTTGGAGGCTGAGATCCTTGGCTTGCAATTGTTGGAAGGCGAGGCATCATGGTGGTCGCGGAAAAGTGAGTCGGAAAAGGCTGGTACGGTACAGTTTCCATTGTTTGGACACTATAACCTGTGTAAGGTGCAACAGAAGTCCACATATTACAGCTTAACGGTGGGGGTGGTGGAGGCAAATCATCCACACCTGATACTCCTCCAATTTCTGGTCCTGAAGTAGAGTACATACATGCTTCTCTGGGCGTCACATCATTGCGATAAGGTGGGCTCAACATCTGCTGGTCGTACGGTGGAGGGGATCGAAAGTAATGATCGTCTGTCATAGAAGAAGAGGGATCTAGGTAAGATCTCTTGCAAGGAAGCTCAAGGTGGCGTGCACCCTCTGTAAAAGAAAGAACTAAGCATTTAGAGAAGTGCTGAATGCATGCTATGAAACTTCCTCATTCATTTGGGCAGCTATGTATGACTCAATATGATTGATTAACGCAATATTGGGGTATGATTAATAAGGTAATGCAGCTCTAACGCATGCACTGCATGGTGTGCAACAATGCACTGTAGTACCTGATTAATTTGGAAAGCTATATGTGATTCAGTATGATTCATCAACATAATATTGGGCGTTGATTGTACTACTTGAGGAGGCTCTATTGACACCTTTCCAGTGTGATGTGTCACATGCTGTAGCACATTATGGTGTCATTCATTTTGAATGGAGTCCCAAAACACTAAGGCAACACAGGATTTTTATTTTTTTTTACCAGTTCTCTGCATTTGGTCATGTTATGATATATAGTGATGAAATTACTGTACTGTCAAATGTGTTGCCTATTTTCTTGTCCGATAAAAAAATATTTGCTTATCTATTTTATTTTGGTTATCTATGGTGGTTATTTATCTCTCATAAAGCACTTGAAAAAAAGTAAGTCATTCTAGGGGAAAGGAATTGTAAAAAAAAAATGTCAGTCTATTATCTAAATAAATGTTCACTTGTATTCTATTTTTAAAAATAGGTGACCGTACTAGGGATGACTGATAGTGGTGTAGGATAATTAATTATGCAGGGTGTGCAGATAAGCTGAAATCACAGTTTATCTTTACTGTAGACAGCAGTGTGAATTTTCCACAGCTATTAATTGTGAGGCCAGTTAAAAGAAATGATTATTTTCTTTAATAAATCCTGTGCTGTCTTTGCTTGCTCTGATGGCTATTTAACAGCCCACTCATTAATTTCTGTAAAGGTATTCATAGTAGTAACAGACATAAATAAGCACGATCAAGTTAATTTATTAATAATATTAGTAGTAGTAGTATTTGCCATAACCTGAAGCAACTTAAAAGAGATTTGCTGTTAGTTTACTCTGAAGCAGACTTATTGCAGAACGCAATATAGGCAACTGCCCTATATAATAATCATTTTGATAAGTTGCACAATTTTAATGATGCATCCTCTTACTGAAAAGGGTCAAATTGCATAGTTTAATCATAATAAAATAATTTCGGAATGAAATTATTTTCTTGCTGTATATCTGCACGCACATCTGATAGATTGTCAATGCAATTTATATAGAAAAGCACGGTAAATACTACAAACTTTAATTTTGCCAACATCAAGAGAGGTACTGTTAACCAAAAATCAGGCTTTTTGTAACAAAGAGCTCTGAAGAAGGTTCCCCTGGTCAGATCTGCACAAACAATCTTGTTAAAAGATATTTGCAAAACAACAAAAAAACATACATATTTGGTTCACCAAAGTGTGCACGTTTACGTCTGTGGGGGAAGAGAGGGAAAGTCCCACTTTTGGGGCCGGCTTATGGTGGACAAAAACAATAGCAATTAGACTAGCTAAACAATTTTTCCTTAAAAAATAGTCATCTAGAGGGTATCTAAGGAAGTTGTAGAGTGCCAATTGTACAACTTCTGAGTACAGATTCAGAATTATAGGCTGCTTAAGTTGTCTGCAAATCTTGAATTTTCATGTAAAAGGCAAGCTTGGCCTCACCCTTTTCACCTCACAAGCCTTCCTATTTGTCCTGTAATATGATGGATGACCTCTCTGATCAATACAAAGATTGTGGTGGCAAGAGAGGACATTCAACTACCCAGAAGTAGCCATGTATACTGTATGAACAATCTATGACTTGCAATTTATTATGCTTTAAAATGTGCAATCTACTACAAGTTAGCAGTGAGTAAGGACATGAAACCAGATGAACATGAAGAGAAGAGCCACATTTATCGCTACTCTATCACTGATATTTCTATTTTTAAAATTAGTCAGCTTTAATCTGTCAGATTCCTCAAGAACAGAAAAAAACTTCATGCATTTGTTTTTAATGAAAGTCTAGCCAAGTGTAGTATATCAGTACCTCTTCTTTTTAAACAGTGATAAAACAACCCAGAATCCCTTTGTGCTGTGAAGGTGTTGAGCGGCAGATCCTGAGCATCGGATGCAGTGAACTGTATGTGTGCCCCGTTCTCATATTGATAATGCTGAAGGCCTTGGTGGCTACCATGCAGTGCATTAAGGTCTGATTTGCTTGGCAGTTGCCCTGGATGACTTGACACCAATCGTTGTCTCATGATACTTTTTGAGATCACAGGATATTCTTTACTGTGGGAAAAAATAACAGCCATTTTAAGAAATTACTTAAATTATAGGTTAGTCTAAATGTGCAGATAGGTAATGCTTTAACTGTGCTATGAATACATTATTATGATCACCAGAACAAATAAAAGACTACAAACTTAAAATGGGTCAATGGATACAAATGCAGCTTGTTTTTGAGGAGTGTAATATAGCAATATAACATAGTCAGTGTGTCTGTGACATAGCTGCTCATAAATCATGCCTACTCGGTTAAGCCATAACTTTATGACCACTCGAGTAGGTCCCCTTTTGCCGCTAAAACAGCCGTGACCCCTCAAGGCATGGACCCATTAGACCTCTGAAGGTATGCTGTGGTATCTGGCACCTAGACATCAGTAGCAGATCCTTTAAGTCCTGTAAGTTTTGAGGTGGGGCCACCATGGATTTTCAGCACATCCCACAGATGCTTGATTGGATTGAGATCTGAGGAATTTGGAGACCAAGTCAACACCTCAAACTTTTTGTTGTGTTCCTCAAACCATTCTTGAACCATTTTTGCAGTGTGGCCGGATGCATTATCCTGCTGAAAGAGGCCACTGCCATCAGGGAACACCATTTCCACGATGGGGTGTCTTGGTCAGCAACAATGTTTAGACCTCAAGGTTTCCCAGCAGAACATTGCTCAAAGCATCACACTGTCTCCACCGGTTTGCCGCCTTCTCACAGTGCGTCCTGGTGCTATCTTTTCTCCAGGCAAGAAACGCACACGCACCTGACCATCCATATGATGTAAAAGAAAACGTGATTTATCAGACCAGGCCACTTTTGTCCATTGCTCTATGGTCCAGTTCTGATGCTCATGTGCCGATTGTAGGTACTTTTAGCAGAGTACATAGGTCAGCGTGGCCCCCTGAATGGTCTGCGGCTATCCAGACCCATAAGCAACAAACTTCAATGCACTGTGCACTCAGATACCTTTCTATTGGAAGTAGCTTTAACTTTCTCAGCAATTTTAGAAGACAAAAGCAACAAATTGATTCTGAGGAAGGGGGTATGCCCCTGAAACGTGTAAATTCAACGTGTCAATTTTAGCTACAGTAGCTCTTCTTTTGGATCGGATGACAGGGGCTAACCCTTACTCCCCTTGGAGCCTTGGTCATCCATGATCCTGTTGACTGTTTACTGGTTTCCTTCCTTGGACCACTTTTGGTAGGTCCTGACCACTGCAGACCGGGAACATCCCACAAGAGCTGTAGTTCTGGAGTTGCTCTAACCCAGTTGTGTAACCATCACAATTTGGCCCTTGTCAAATTCACTTAAATCTTACACTTGTCCATTTTTTCTGCTTTCAACACATCAACTTCAGGAACAAAATGTTCACTTGCTGCCTAATATATCCCACCCAGGTGCCATTGTAATGAGATAATAAATGTTATTCACTGCACCTCTCAGTGGTCATATTGTTATAGATGATCGGTATCTATGTTGGGTTTGATTCAATAAAGAAGTAAAGGTTGTTCACTTAGTGTATGTCCATGTTGCAAAGTGAACATTAATGAAGTAGGTAAATCTGTGTTCATTTTGAATATTTATTTTGAATACTCATCTTAAATACACCTTATTTACTAACATTCACTTTTCAAAGGGAACATACTCATTGCAAAGTAAACATTCACAAGCATTCAAGTTAACAGCTACTATTACTTTTATAGACCAACCACATCATGCACACCTGTCACAGAATTGCCAAAACACCATGGGTTTTCAAAAGAGAGCATAGCAGAAGCAGCTTCCTATTCAGACTTTTTGAGTTTTAATTACTAAAGAAGTTGAAACTCTTCACTCAATAAATTGTAGCTATGTTCATTATGAATACCCATCCATGTGCAGGTGAAATAATTAGACATTAATTCGATTTTCACATGACCGGATAATTGAAGTGTCTCTTCACTCATTTATTGAGTTAAGAGTCTCAACTTCCTTGGTAAAGCAACCCCTCTGTCTCTGATTAAAATTTAGATAGAGGGAGAGAGAGAGAAGAGGGGTGAGTTAATGCTCCCATTTATTGAGTTGCATGTATACATTTCAGCTTGCCCTATTGAGTCCTGTAAATAGCAGGTTTTGTTTTACAACAGTAAGTAGGGAGAAACTGGAAAACAAATGTTTAAAAAGATATGCATATGCAACATTTCATATTTACATATTTTGTAAAGTTTTTGTTTTTGATTTCATTCTAACTATAATAAACTAAGAAAATATGTACAAAACCACAATACCTTGCCTGTAACTGTGCTTCCTTGCTACCTCAGTCACCCAGGTCATCTCCCCACACAATTTGATCCTAACCCAACTGCCTACAGGGGCTTCCTCTTACCTAACTTACCTCCCAATCATAGTGCCTCCTTCCCATCTCACCGCATTGCCTATACTGCATCTGTTACAAGACACAACGCATCCCTTACGGCCGAAGTCCTTCTCCGCTGTCATGATCACATCTTTCTGTTCATCAATACAAAATGCTTGTGTCTTTGACAAATATACCCCTTGCTGTTTCTATACCCCACTATCTGCACACTACACCTCTACATACCTGTGTTCTGCGCCACAAACTTACCTGTTTTGGAATAAGCACACTTTTGCTAGTTTTATATAAATGAAGTCAACAAATTAGTAAAGAATCAACTCAAGTATTTACAATACATAATTTGTACCTTTGCAATCGAGCCACACGGAGGTCACTGTCATCACTTCCCCTAAAGCCTTTGGCAAAGGGATTATTTTCAATTTTTAACTGGGTTATCTAAAATCAATAATTAATCAAGAAATAATTAATCAATAATTCATCACAGAATAATTAGTCAATATTTATTCAAGAAATCAATGATATAAAAAATGCTATCATTCAATATAAACAATATCAATGAAAAAATTGAATACAACCATATATAAAATGTGTGTCAATAAAAATTTGCAGGACCCAAGTCACTCAATACAAATTTAGTGAGCAGTTCTCCAGATTCTTGAGTTTGATAAGAATGGATATAGGTGGTGATCTTCTAATGAACTAAACCCTGGACATGGAAACTGCATTGTTCTGTCAGGAGGAGGATCCTTTTCTGACTACTTCAGCTTATATTCAAACTGTTTACACAAATTGTTATTTAATGATATGTTGTTAAAATCTGCTATCAGCTATAAAATTTAAATCAGCCATAAAATATGAAATCTCAAGAAATTAAAGAGAGTTTCTACTTTCATGTAAATGTAAAAAAGCTGTTGGCAAACCACCAGCTGCTGACTGTTGCTCATGCCAATGAGGCTGGAACAATTTTGAAGTTGATGCTGCTCCTTGGATTTTCCAAGACAGTCCAGCCATATCAATCTACTGGAAGCAAATGGGTTTCTAAGGTCAAGCAATTTCATGCTGAAAAAAAGCATGGTACTGGCCTCTGATCTGCTTAGCAGTGCCTTTGATAGCCAAATGATAAGGTGTGAATGGTACAACCTCTGTTGTTCAGCAGTGCAAGATGCCAGTGAGTTTTGCACATTCTAAATACAGTTATTAAACGTTTATTTATTCCCTTATTTTCTTCAATCCCTTATTTCTACATCACATGTAGATTAAAGTTCTTTTGAAAAGTTCACTCATGTCAGGAAATGTCAAAAAATGCTTCTTCTACTGGATAGTGAAAAAGAGTTCAAGAACTAAGTTGTATTTCCCGATCATGGGATCACAATGAATTGTTGAACAAGTTGATCGCTTTGAAACAGAGAAGGTTTGCTTTTGTAGCAGATCTTCCCAGTTTGCAGGCATTTCAGTTGGCAAAATTCACAGCTCTGGGACTAGGGGGCAAATTGCATTTTAGGGTACTGGAGAAAAGACCAGTAACTGATCAGTGTGGTTCTTGATCATGTGATCACCATAATTAGCCAATGTGCTTTGGTAGGCTTTATTTTTTTCTAATGAAACAAAATTCTGCCTTACCTACTTTTGCTAAGCATTTTTGTGAGTGGATTCTATCCCACCATGTGGCAAAAGGATAGCAACCCTCATATAAATCCTTGAAAAGCAGATACAGATCAGCATGTAGAGATTTGTTGCACCTTTTTTTGTTAAGAAAAGCGGATTCTGTGCCATCAGCCTAACATGTGTATGTGGACCATACTTAAGTTATGTCGCAGTTTATTCTGTGGTAGTGCACTAGCTCACATCTCTGTTTGGATTTGATACAGCTGTAAACCACTAAGTTTTATGGGCACAGTGTTCATACCGTCACAGCAAATACACGTGCTGTAATAAGTTTTCACCTTAGATTTATGAGCAAGATTTTCTTGTCATTATTAGATTTGCGGTTCTGTTTGAATGACATCTCAAGGTTTATGAGTTAGCTGATTCATTAAGCAATATACCAGAGGGTACCGTTTTTAAAATGTTTCAATTTAATATAGCAAGGGGTAATTGTGGAATTTAGAAAACACATCTTACTTAAGAACAGTCTACAACAGAAACACGTGCTACTTACCATAGTAGGTGCCCAGCGTTAGCTAAATTGTGAATTAGCTTCTTCATGAATTTTGTGGTAAAGAAATCATAGTGTAGTATAAATGATATTATACTATACCATTATTATTACATACAATTACAAATACACATAAAATACCACCTTGTACAAGGTTATATATATTATTGCAAAATAGTTCATGTCAAATAATTGAAGTGTATCCAAAGCCAAAACTTTTTTCCTTACCTTTGGATTGAGTATGAGAGGGTTAAAACCACTGTAAATGTGTTTGCCATCTGTGTCTCCTTAGGAAGATTTCCCTTCACTTCCTATCCTGTAGAGTCAACAGGAAGTGAGAAGATACCTTTCCAATGTTGTCACAGGAATACGTGTCCCCATTGGAAGATTACTCCTCTATTTCTGTTTTGGTGACAATTTCGGATATACCCTCACTTTCTTTCCCGGTGACATTGGTGATCAGAACAAAGAGAGAATTAATCTCCCTAACAGGGACATAGACAGCAATAACAACTTGACCCCGGTTCTTACCTCTCACCATTCCATCTAAATCTAAACAAAAGTTTTGCCTTCAGTTGTACTTTAACTTATGGTTTTATAGTCAGTGAGAAGAGTTATGAAAGGCTTAATTTGACTCACCTTGTGATTTTGATATGAGGTCACAGATATAAATGCTGTCTCTGAAAATACATGTGTACAGAAAGCTGTGTTTTTGGATCCAAATGCATTGTTTTCATCTGCTTTGACAATATGTAACCTTGGCTGGTATTTGTGCATTGAGTTTAAAATAATCTGGAAAAGAAATCTTGAATAATTATCAGAAAGGCGTACGTGAGAACATATATACAGTGGGTTCAGTGGGTACAGTATAAAATTAGGGTTTTTAAGACCCTTATATGAAGGCGTAAATGACAACTGGCCACAGCGATGAAGTGTGCTGTTTTCTGTAGGGTGAGTGAACATCAACCCATCTTGGTTCTAGTAGGCCCTCAATAGGAATAACACAAGAGAACAACATGTATGTAGGCCCAATGGTATTTTTAGCGAAGGAAGTTGGTTGGAGACCTATGTTGGGTTATATAGATATTGCATGCTACGTTACCTTTTGAGGAAGTGTATGTGAAAGAAGAAGGAGGTGTGCATAGGGGGGTTATGGGAAGAAAGAAAAATGTTGTGAGAATGGTAGTGAGGAAGGAAAGATGGGGGGAGGGGAAGGAGGAGGAACAAGGTAGGGAAGGGGAAAGGGTAACCCCTGTCTCCATAGGCGATCAGGAGGTTTTGTTGTCTTTATTAATGAAAAGCTCTGATGTTAGGTTGGTTCTCAGACCCAATTCATAGCAATCAATAAAATAATTATACCCCAACAATTACACTTTCAAGAGGAAAACATAACAATGCAGAGAAGATAAAAATAAGAAAGAGGATCAAACAGAATGATATTGTCGGGTAATAGCATCAAATAAGTGGTAGTTGCAACACATGCTCTACTTGTATTACAGATGAAGAACTTTTATTTGCTCAGGAGTCAATGCAAATGAGGATGTAGACTCCCAAAACTGAGTTTGTGGACATTTTATTTGAATGTTGAATTATCTCATGCTACTGGGCCATGGACAGGTGTTGCCTTCTAGTCACTGTGATACAGAACATGCCTGCACATACTGTTTCCTGCACACTGCTCCACCTAGGTTGCTGGGACTGAGGTCTCCTTTTAAAGGAAAGTTAAATAAAGCTTAATATGATAAAAGTTACTCATGCATTGTAGCAGCATACACTATGCTACACCAATTCATCTGCCACATTTGCAGTATAGATAGCACAGGGAATGTTGCAGCATAGAGTATGCTGCAACAACGCATGAGTCCCCTTACGTATGCTGCAACAATCCGTGTGACACCTGTACTGCAACAAGCTATTGGCCCATGAATTACTACATGCATTTGTGAACTACACAGGACAAAGAAACAGTTATTTTTGTCTTCCCTACCCTGCATCCCACACAGAAATACATATTTACTTTAATTTCTCTTAGTACTGACTGTCTCTGTGGACATGTTTCTGGTGTTCCAGTACAGTACAGATTGTGCCTCTGAAGACATTTTTCTGGTGTTTCAGTTCTGTACATATCGTGCCTCTGTGGGCATGTTTCTGGTGTTTCAGTTCTGTACAGATTGTGTCTCTGTAGACATGTTTTTGCTGTTTCAGTACAGTACAGATTGTATCTATGTGGACATGTTTCTGGTGTTTCAGATCTGTACAGATTGTATATCTGTGGACATGTTTCTGGTGTTTCAGATCTGTACAGATTGTATATCTGTGGACATGTTTCTGGTGTTTCAGATCTGTACAGATTGTATCTCTGTGGACATGTTTCTGGCGTTTCAGTACAGTACAGATTCTGTCTCTGTGGACTTGTTTCTGGTGTATCAGTATGATACAGATTGTGTCTGCACACATACTTCTGCTTATGTCAGTACAGTGACAATTCTGTCTCTGCTAAAGAGTTCCTGCTGGTGTCAGTATGGGGCAAACCCTGTATCTATGGACGGTATGATACCTATTCTGTCTTTGCAGGCAAGTATGGTACTTATTCCGTCTTTGCAGACAAAAGTGAGCGGCGGCCAAGAGGAACTGATCAAATGAAACTTAATTGTTGTTTTAGGCAATTACAATTTGCTGCAGTTTACTTTGTACCAGATCTTTTTAAATTGGCTCTATAGTGCCCCTCAAGTAAACACGTGCCAAGTCTATCAACCTTGACTTTTCCTATGAGAGGTTCCAGTGAAAAGCAGATGTGAATGAACCGTTGCACAAACACTTAATTAATTATAATTCCACTGTGGTAGCCCTTGGTTGTTATGGTACACCATGGTCCTAAGCACATAGGAAATGTTGAAGGTAATTTTTTAAGTGAGGTAATGTTATGAACATCTTAAGCCCCACCCTTTTTTCTACGTTATTGCTAAAGGGATAAAAATATGTGTTTTGCTATTGATGTTGTGCATTTCGTATATTCCTCTGTTCTCCTCTCTGTTTGTGTGTAAGTTAGACCAGCTCCTTTTTAGACACTCCCAATCTTTCCTTGCTCCAAGTTAGTTTTAGTTATACCTTTGTCCAGTAAGTGAAGAGAAAGTCCTTTTAGAAAATCAGGAGGCAATGACTATGACATGTTTTTCAGCTCTAAGAAAAACCTGGAAAATATATTTTGTAACCTACCAGCCTGGAAAAATTGCATTTGATTGATGAGTCCTTTGATGAGTTGACACTGCCTCTGAATCTTGTTGAGTCAGCAAGCTGCCATAATGTCTGCACCTACTGGGTCTCCGGTGCTAAGTTTTTTTGTGTAAAGCAACATTTAAAACAGAACAATTTGTGCTAATATGTTCTGGGGCAGATGCAGGGAATGGCATTCCTACTATGGAAAGGTTTATCCATGTAGTTTCCCTATTGCAAAATGAAAAGCATGAATATTTCCCTGTATTGCACATTCTACTGTCTTCATCACCAGCTAGTGCACATAATTATGCTTTTCCCTGTTGTTTAAACTGCAGTGATGTACATTACCTTTAGTACCTTGTTAAAAAAAACTAAGCCATTAAATAAGTACGCAAAAATAATAAAAACACACTTCAATGGCCTAACAATATCTTATTTGTTGCTCAACCCAATGTACAATATTCTGGCTTCTTTAGGTCTCATATGAATATTTTTATTAGTATCCAGTGTCACAGGCATCTGTATCCCAGACAAGGCAGAAGCTGATGACCATCTGGCCTAAGGAGTGACAGCCAAAAATAAATTTTTCTTCATCCAAGTAGTAGTACTAATGTTATTTTTAGCAGTTTATTCTCATCCAATTGCATAGCACATTCACACTGTGACAAGAATGTGCAAACGTTAATCTGACACCAAAGTTTAGCACTTCTGTGGTCAGAATATAAAATTCTCACCTGCACCTTACCAGTAAAATTGCTTAAACAAAATCTGCTCTGATAGAGAAACCCAGGCTGCCTTTGCTAGCCTCCTTCTAAAAATGCTAATTTTCTGGCTCTCTCTGGCTTCATTATTTGCTGGATCCAGGATTTGGAACAAGCATACAATCAGTCAAATCAGAGCAAGGTCAGAACTTCTCTTCTGCATATTAGTTCTAGGTCAGTGACCCAGAATGTATTGAATTATCATGAAAAACAGACACCTAGCACTTTTAGAAGGAAAGATCACCAATGGCAGCCCCCATACTTCATACCTCAAGGTTTCACTTTAAAGCAGGAATCTAGTTGACAAACAAATTATTGACCCGTTTTCCCTACTCCTAGTCAGTGTATGTTACTTTTTGTATTTTTAGTTCTCTATTAGTAACCTTGATATGCTTATAAAGTTGGGGTCATGTGACTGCTTCATCTCTAGCTTTCCCCTGTGCTCTTGGACATAGAGAATATTACCGGTAGGTAAATAGCAATTTTTATGTGAAGGGGGGTGTGAGGAGAGGTTTTGTTTGGTGACCTCATAAGCAGTAGGCATTTATATTTGTTATTTATCAAGCAGCATGCATATATATATTTGTTATTTGTCCAACAGTGGTCAAGCAGGAGTTAGTCTACTTATTATAAATGCTCTGTTTGCTATCCGGGAGCTATAACATAGATTTAACAGAAGATTACATGATACTTATCACAAGATATGAATGGGTAAAATTAGATTGCTGATATTGTAAAGAAGGAGATAACCAGTGATTCTTTCTGGTATCACTATCTTATTTACCTAAAATTCTGGGTATATAGACAAGATGAAACAAAACTTCACTTTCTTTACAGGGAAGTGTTGCAAAACAAAAGTAGTTCAACAATAAAAAAGACCTAACAACATTAAATAAAAATAAATATACCCTGAAATAAATAAAGACCCCAAAATACTACTGGGACAACTAAAATGACAGCTGATCTCAAATCAACCAAAAAAAAAGCTTCCACTAATAGGACAAGGGCAGAAAATGGAGTTAATTGCTCAAAAAGTTGTGCTTCCAACACACTGACACTATGGCAGCTCCGTACCCCCCCCCCTTTAATAGTGAGGGGGGTGGCATATAGGATCCAATTTTTGGCCATTTTAAGGCAGCTGACCAAAGGGCAAAGGCCTTTTCAGTGTAAAAAGGTTACAGTTAATAGAGGGCATGGGAGTTGCTAATGAGTTCCCTGGGACCACAAAAAGAGAACTACTTGGGATCATCTCGAGCCAAACTTCAAACCTATCCCTACCTTTTACCATTACCACTAGGGCAGTCCTTAATTTCTAGTCAGTTATTTTGTCTAGGCTGAGCTTATGTCATCACTTTGCTGCAGCACTGGGCTGCATTGCCCAATGCAGCCCAATGCTGCTGGAGTGAATAGGCAGGTTTTGATCCTCCCTCAGTTGACTGGACAGTGGAAGGAGAAACAGACTGATGAGCTCATCTCTCTGTAACTCTGCTTTCTCCTATCAGAATGCTCCTTGTTACCACATAAGTACTACAGCACAGCCAATTGTCTCCATGTGCTGCTTCTCCCTCTTTCAGTACAGGGGAGGCAAGCTGATGCCAAACTAAATTCAGGTATATTAATGATATTATTGAATACTAAGCTGCAATATTTTGTGAATATTATATATGCCTGGAGTTCAGCCTTAAGGTCTACACAGAACCTGTTTAGCACACTTATTCCAGGTCGGTGGCTCAGAAAGCTACTAAATAAGCATGACAGTCGGCAACTCATATTTTTAGGGAAGGTCAGCAATGGCAACCTGTATTGTCTCAGTAC